TCTGGGATCACGGGTACCCCTCTTAGGCTACGACAATGGCACTTCCCGTAGGATGTCCGAGACTAGGATATGCTGGACCTGATATGACGTATCATCTCCACTGCGTTCTTCCTCAAAACGAACACGGTAGACAGGCTACTGCACTCACAGACGACTGTGGACGCTTTATAAGGTGTGAGAGAGAAAGGTCACCGTCGCGATCGTTCGACTATGAAGTTTATCAGTCGCCCACTACATCATCAGCAAACATAGAAACGGAGGTAAAGATAGTCTTAAAAGCACCGTGTATTCTGTTCTGGAGCGGCAAATGACTAAAACCTGTATAGTACGGTCTATGAAGGTTTTGAGCACTAACACTGGTTAACCTTATACAGCTCATAGCAGTAACAGGTCAAGTGGGACGAAATTACTTTGACGCAGTAGGGTGATACCTTCTTTAAGAATAAAAATCTAACTCACCAACACGATTTTCATATAGTCCATCGGCTGAGAGACGAGAGATTCCAGTTCGGGAAACCGGTGTTGATAAATATCACGTGTATACTTGTGAATGATGTCTAAAAGAGAGCTTTGTCATCGATTCGAGTGAACTTACTTATTTCGTTGTCAATTTCAACTATTAAGTCATTTGCCTGCACGATACAAAGATACTCTGGGTCGGCCTCAACTGGCCCGGAGACGGACTCTCGTTTTGGCTGCTTTGAGAATACGTCTATCTGCTGCATCACAGTGGTAAGCTAGATGGATGAAAAAGTGAAAGATACAGTCAATGATTGCAAGATATGAATCATCATTAATTATGATAAAACAGAAGCAGGGCTGAAGACTCACTTTTTCACTATCTCTCAACTTCGCAAACTTGCTTATCGGAGCAGTTGGTATCAGAGCATTGAGCAATTTGTGTGGCTTAAGGAGGCTGCTCAGATCTTCCTTAAGATCAATCTTCGAAGGAAAATTTTGGTTGATCTCTGAATCAGTTTTCACTTCATCCGCCTCTATGGCTGTAATAAATGAATTCTCCTCTTCGTCCTCGGCGGGCTCAGCATTGTCAAGATCGGCGAGGAGTTCATCAGCCAAAGACATAGTTTTCGATTTACGCTGAAAGACAGGAGGCAAATAAAACACCGTAAATCGGGTTATACCCGATAGGATTAAAAGACAAGGTCTAGGTACACGGTAAAGGCGTGAAACATACAGTTTGCGGTTGAGTTATATTTCCTTAGGCACTCAAGGCGGGCGTAATATATAAAGAGAAAAATTACATCTAGGGACATACGTGTTAACATTTACAGGAAAGATCTTGACGGAGAAGCGTTAGTGTTCGAAATCAATGACATGTGATATACGATACCCTTCGAAAACTATTGCACGAAGCAGACATAAATT